GCACTTGCTGTTTTTCTAACAAAGGGGTGGCGGGACAGAGATTGTCTTTGCTCAGTCAGCCTTAGAGCCTGACGCCCCGCACTCTGGGAGTTTAGGCCCAGTTTCTGTGCTCGGCAGCCCTCAGGTCATGAGTGGCCCCCCTCACTTACCTGAATTTTTTTTTATGCTGATCACCTTGTTTTCATTAATATCTCTTAAGGAGGTATTTAGGTTTCATCTTTCCCCTTTGGCTCAGTCACAACACTTCCCTCAATTTGCACCTCCTAAAAATTTGTTGACATCTCTCATCCACTAGATTCCTATTTTCTCTGTTTCCTTATGGGTTTAAACTATTTAGAATATTTTACCTTCATTTTGGTGGCATTTGCAAAGGAGAGATGATGGCATGTAACCAATCAAATGAATTCTGTGTTTTTGTCAAAATCAGACAATAGGAACACTGTCAACTTGTAAGAATGGATTTAATCTGGTTTTAAGGGTCAGTCCCTAACACTTCTTACATCTGTTTTATTTGCTCTTAGGTTCGGATCAATTCCTTGACCCCATCCTGTTGTCCTTCCTTTCTCCAAAGATTTTATTTACATCTGTTATTTTACAGAGTATCAAAGTAAGCTGGCTGCCCCCTCCACCAGGAACACAAAATGGATTTATTACCGGCTATAAAATTCGACACAGAAAGACGACCCGTAGGGGCGAGATGGAAACACTGGAGCCAAACAACCTCTGGTACCTGTTCACAGGTCAGTGTTCACATGGTGTAGGCTTGGAAGTGTTAAATGCTTTAGCAATAAAAATATACTCTCACGCCAGAGGAACATTCCTTTTTTTTTCCTGGTAGGTGACATTTACTGGTCTGAACATGAATAGCTTTTATGTTTCTAATTTGATATTCCCTGTATTACTTTTGCTATGGATTTTGCTTCTGGATCATCACCTTAATTAATATACCTTTGAATTTTTATCCATATTAGTTTCTTAGTATTGCTGACTCAACAATCAAAATCAAAAAGTTATTTGACAGTTTTTGTTGTCAAGTAACTTTTAACTTTTTAATAACTTTTAAAAGTCATGTAATCAAATGCTTGTAAGTTTAAATCACTTTGTGTGCCCTTACCCCAATCTCCAGCAGTGAGGATGAGGTTGGAAAATGGAGAGAGAGAGGGTTGGTTTGGAGAATAAAAAGAACACCTAATCTACTTTCCATAAATATGAAAGTAAATTTTACTTATGTAGAATATTGGTAGAGCTCATAGAGGGTCAGATTTCTCTCTGAAAACTGGATCCAGGTTCTGTGCAGTATTTAGAGAATTTTTTTTAATTTTATAGGAAATAATCATATATTTCCTTGAACTCTTGGAACTATTAACCCATGGTAAACAGACTGAGGCAGCCTTTCAAGTTAATGCCTTTAGAGTGTAAGCCCAGGAAAGCAGGAGTGAGAGAACAAGACAGCACAGAAAACAAACTAATGATTACTAAAAGGGAAAGTGGGGTTTAAATTAGGAGTTTGGCATTAGCAGATACAGAGCTACTACATACAAGATGGGTAAACAACAAGGTGTACTATATAGCACAGAGAACGATATTCAATAGCTTATACTAACCTATAGTGAAAAAGAATATATATATATGTATGTATGTATGACCAAGTTACTATGCCATACACCAGAAATTAACACAACATTGTAAGTCAACTATACCTCAATTAAAAAAAAAAGAGGCTTACTTCACTTAGAATGACATTATTGTAGAACAGATAAACAAGATTACACTGTATAGCACAGGGAAATATACACAAAATGTTATGATAAATCACAGAGAAAAAAATGTGACAATGAGTGTGTATATGTCCATGAATGATTGAAAAATTGTGCTGAACACTGGAATTTGACACAACACTGTAAAATGATTATGAATCAATAAAAATGTAAAAAAAAAGAGGGAACAAAGGAAGTGAGCCAAAGAGGAAAAGAAATCAAATAATGATGGCATATTAATGAATTGGCCACAAGTTTAGAACAAACCCAGAGCTTGCTTGGCCTTGGCCGGTGGGTAACACTAGAGAAACTACATGAACTACTGTGTCTCAGAGTGAGTGGCTGGGTAAGAAATGTGAGCAGTCTCTCTCTTGTCTATCATTGATCAAAGCAAGTCGTCCACCAACAGGTTGTTAAGTTTTCTGTATCTCCAGACAACTGCTGTTGAGCCAGCAATTCTGATAAGTGTGCAAACATGGACTTCTCTCCTTGCCCATCAGCACTGTACATGGTGAGGGCTAGGTCCAGGGTAGCGGCAGCACTCTGGGCCGTAAAGCACCAAGAGGAGCATGAACTGTTGCTAAGGGTTTGGGAAGCAAAACCTATAGCAGTGGCTCATGATGAGGATTGGTGCATCCAGTAGAGCATATGTGTCATGGCACGTAAACTGGGTCCATGACAACATGCAAGCTAAAACTCATAACTTACAGATAATGGATAGAGGAAACTATCATCACAAATGAAAAAAAAAAAAAAAGGAAAGTAACTCATTACTTACTTTCTCTATATCAAATACTTGGTCAATTTCTGTTTGAAATTATAAAATACTCATACAATTTAAGCTACTTGCTCAGCTTACAGTATGAGACTTGATAGAAATTTGTTTTTTCCCCAAAGTATTTTTGCCTCTTATGCCTATAAAATGTTAATGTGATGGTGAGGGTGTATCCAAAACAGATTGCCTAAGAATCACATTATTTGTTTTATATTTGGACAAAATCTTCTAGGCAGGTATTGTCGAATCTAAGACAATGTTATGACACTATACCATACCGTTTTAAAAGCTTAAGAAAAGCCAAGAGCTTATGCCTTCTTCCCTGATAAAGTGATGGGAAGATAAAAATCATTGAAGTGAGGCATATGTGCTCATTAGAATATTTGATGCAACATGTACATAGTTTAAATGAAATCACCAGAATTTTTAAATCTTGCAGAAAAAATTTTAGCACAATTCCTAAGATTTAATATTTGAATAGAAGATGAAGCACTAAGAATAATTTAATCCAAGGCTTATATTTTAATAGATAAAAGTCTTGGAATCCCTGAAACATTTTTTATGGTTGTTTTTCCTTCTCAAATGAAAAATACTAAAAACATAAAATGAACCTCTTTTCTTGAAATAAAATAATTAGTTAAAATATGAGCATTCCAATAAAGAAACTAATAACTGGATATTCAATTTACAGAACTATAAATGGCCAAAAAGCATAATAAATTGTTCAGTCTCATTAGTAGAGAAATGGAAATTAAAACAAAGTGAGTTAGCATTTTTCTTTGATTAAAGTAATAAAGATAAAAATGAATGATGATACACTGTTTTGGAAAGTGTATGAGAGAAACATAAACTCTTATGTATTACTTATGGGACAAAAAGTTTCTAGAATCTTTTTGGAGATCAGTATGGAAATAAATGTTATATACAGGTGTATATGTGTGTGTGTATGTGTATTCATAAACGTATGATTCAAGTTTCCAAGTTCTAGGCATTTATTCTAATATGCAGACATATTTTTTGCAAAGTTTTTAACTATAAACATTTTCATTGGACTGTTGCGTTAATAGCAAATAAAAAGAAACAAAGACTCTTAAGTATCTAACTATAGGCAATTACCTAGAAAATTCATGCATAATCATATATGGAATACTGTATATCCATTGAAAATATTGTAATATAAACATATTAAGTTGCATGTTAAATATTAAAAACATGTTAAGTGAGGAATTCAGTTTTAAGTCAGTAGTACACGAGTCTGTATTTATAAACAACAACAACAACAAAAAGAATTGATAAGAAAATATTTAGAATATTATAGTCTAAATCCCACAATATTAATGGTGATTATTGCTTACTTTTGCAACAATTAAATATGTATTTTTAATTGCATAGGTAAAGTGAAAATCAAATAAAATGCTAAGACTCCTATGTCATATTATAATTTTTGGTTACCGAAATTCACAATTTCTTACTACTAACTCTAACTCTATGCCCATTGAACAGCTAAGAAGGGGCTGGTCTAGAAAATAAATGAGGATTGGTAGCCACACGGCCAAAAGAACTTACTGGTGTGAATTGCTTAGTATTTATGGGGTTTTTGGCAAATGGAATTTAACACATTCAGCTCCATAATATCAAACCAAGATTCTGACTCCCTAAATACACAAACTCTTGGGATTTTCTCTCTATGAGACATAAAATCATTTGAAACAATAACTATATAGAGCAGCAAGCGTTAGCCTTTCCACTAGCAAAGATGCTGTATTAGTCCTTGAAGGGTCGTAAGAAGTGACCAAAAATGTGGCAGCTTAAAACAATAGCGTTTTGTTTTTCTAGTTCAGGAGACACCAGGAATCTGAAATCAAGGTGTCTGGTTCCTTCTGGAGGTTCTGAGAGAAAAGCTGTCCCATGCTTGTCTCCTAAGCTCTGGGGGTTGCATCTCTCAGATCTCTGCCTCCATTTTTGCATCACTTCCTCTGTGTGTCTCCGTGCCCTCTCTCCTTCTAAGGACATCATTCATTGGATGTAGACTCCAAAGTCACCCAGGATGATTTCATCTCGGATCCTAAACTAATTTATATCTGTTAAGACCACATTTCCAAGAAAGGTTATATTTGGCTATTCCAAGTATACAGTGTTCTACTCATTCCAGATTCCTTTTACTACTTTTCCTCTCAGGGACAATCATTTCGAATTATATCCTCTAATAAACTTTATTTAGCCAAAAGTAAATAATAAATTCCTACACCTTTATTCATCTAAAATATATGTGACAGTTAGCACTTCTAATCAGCATAGGGACAGCCCATCTTCACACTCGGCTAATATCACATAGCAAAGTCAATGGCAAAGAAATAGGATGAATTAATTAGTTTGTTATTGAAATAGTACACAAATGCCCCTTCCCATCTTTATAGATTTGTAGGAATGTAGACCCCGAATTTGTTTTATTTTTTATTTATATATACTTTAATTGAAGTATAGTTGATTTATAGTATTGTGCTAGTTTCTGGTGTACAGCATAGTGATTGAGTTATATATGTGTGTATGTATATACATATATATATATATATTCCTTTTTTTATTCTTTTTCATTATAGTCTGTTACAAGATATTGAAGTAGTTCCCTGTGCTATACAGTAGGACTTTGTTGTTTATCTATTTTTATATATAGTAGTTTGTAGCTACAAGATCAGAACTCCCAATTTATCCCTCCCCATCCCCTTCCCTCCCTGGTAACTGTAAGTTTGTTTTCTATGTTTGTGAGTCTCTTTCTGTTTTGTGTCATTTTTTTGGTTTCCACATATAAATGATCTCATATGTGTTTCTTTTTCTTTCTGGCTTCCTTCACTTAATATAACAATCTCTCTAGGTCCGTCTATGTTGCTGGAAATGCATTGTTTCATTCTTTTTTATGGCTAAGTGTATTCCATTTGAACTCCAAATTTGAAACCTTTATTCATTGCTATTCCTTCTTTATTTCAGTAGTTAGAAAATGAATTTGGGGATGCAAACATAATTTGAGTAGTTAAATACTGTACCTGATACTTTACAAAAAAGTCACACAGACTCCATTTTTACTTTGACATAAAGAATTAAGAAGAACCAGAGAATAGAAAAACATGAAAAACCAGCTTTGCAAGGCTTCTTCCCTCCTCTCCCTTGCTCTGTGTCCCATCTTCAGTCATGTGTGTTGCCTTCCTAGATGTTGTGCAGGTGTCTTTAATGCTACAGAGCAGCAAGAGTAGACTGCCTGTGGTTGTGAGTTGTCCCCAGGGTATGTTTAGTAACTTATACACTTCAAGTAAGCAGAAGTAATTGATTTTCTATATGAATCTGTGGAATTTTCAAATGTACAGGATTTGACCCCATGTTTTCAATGTCCATAAAATACATGGCTGTATTGATTTGGCTGTTGGAAAATTGGAAATGCTAGAATGCTTCCTTTGGATGCTATAAATATTCAGGTGTAGAGACTCAAAAAATTTTATATTTCAATCTTCTGTTACACAGGTGTTTTTTGTTGTGTGTGTTTTTTTTACTAGGATAATGAGACATCTGCAATAACAAAGCAATTCAGTTATAACAAGGATTTTAAATCACTGCTATCAGCTTTATTGTGGGAACCCAAGTCAACTGAATTTTAAAGTGCTGTTTTTAATTTTTGAATGCTCTTCAGAGGAGATTGTTTGGAACTGAAGGGTCTTCTCAGGCTTCATGGCCAATATAAGAATAAACATAGTGGTAAACACCCATTGGTATATTATGGACTTAAAAATTGAAACAATAACACAGCAATTTTATAACAAGGTTACCATTAGGGGAATAAAGGGAAATTATATTGTTTGACTAAAAAATCATCACTTGACCGGAAGTTCTAATAAACTAGAAATAGAATTGAAGAATTAGAGTTTGAAGGCACTTATTATTTGGGATAGAAACAGGCAGAAGACCAATTGCTTTCAACAATAGAACTTTCTTATAGCTAAGAAAAGCACTGCTATCTACCATACTTCTTTTAGAATAAAGTTATACTTAGAAGAAGCCAGGTGCATGCTCGCACGTGCACATGCACACACACACACACACACACACACACACGCATGCACGCACACACACACATGTTAAAGAGTGAACTGTAGGTCCATGACAACCAGTACAGGAACCACACAATTCCTGTCATCCAAAGCCCCTGTTTTACAGAAGAAGCAAATGATGTCTGAAGAATGACATTGCTGAAATACACCACTAGTGAAGGGGACAGTTCCAACTGGATCACAGACATTCTGATTCCTAGTTGCGTGCTCTTTGTACTCTACCATGTTGTCATCTGACTTTATTGTGAGTGACTCTGGCTATTGTATGAATCTGTAAAAGATCCTTGATATTAAACATAATTTTAGCATATGTAACAATTGGGTAACAGTGACTTTGACAGTAGATACTGTGCTGAGAACAGTATGGAGGGTCCTCAAAAAGTTAAAAATAGAACCGCCAGTGAGCTGGCAATACCACTTCGGGGTACACACCCAAAAGAACTGAAACCAGGATCTCGAGGAGAAAGCTGCACCCCACATTCATTGCAGCATTATCCCCAATAGCCAGGGTAGAGGAATAACACATATGTCCACTGACAGACAAATGGACAAAGAAATTGTTGTAATTACATACAGTGGAATATTATTCAGCCTTAAAATTTAAAAAAAAAAAGCAGTTTTTCTATTTGCAACAACATGGACGGGCTGGGAGATGTTATACCGAAGTGAAATAAGTCACAGAAGGACAAATACTGCATGATTCCACTTACGCGAGGTATATAAAATAGTCAGACTCATAGTAACAGAAGAGAGTGGTGGTTACTAGGGGAAAAGAGGAGGGGAGAATGGGAAGTCGTTCAGTAGGCATAAAATGATGGTTATACAAGATGAATAAATTCTAGAGATGTGCTGTACAACATAGTGACAATACTGGATCTTGCACTTGTTTAAAAGGTACCACCTGCCAAGCGTTCTTACCTTTTTTTTTTTTTTTAAAAAAAAGCAAGAGGACAAAATAGTCTTGGAGATGAAAGATAGCTTTATTACTTTGATCGTGGTGATATAATTGTGTGTGTGTGTGTGTGTGTGTGTATTTCCAGACTCATTAAAATGTATACATGAAAAATGTTCAACTTTTGGCATATTAAAAAAATTCAAAAAAAAAATCTGAAAAAAATCTCCATTAAGAAAAGGCTTTCACTAGAAGCCTTTTAAGAGGACAGCATTTTGTGTGGGTGATTTTATGAAATTGTCTTCTCTAATAGTACTAGTTATTTAAGGCAACTGCCCTTTGACACTAACAAGTCCATTCTAACCACCACTTAAAACACCGTCTCCTATTAGTAGTAACTTAGAATTCTCAGTACCAGGATTAATTTATCTTCTTGTGCAAAAAATATGTAAGTACATAACTTTGTACTTGATATAAGCATCCTTCCTCTCATAGTTTATTTGATTTATGAATTTTCCTTGGCGCCCAGCGTTTATGCCATTTCAAATTAATGGAAAAAACAAAGAGAGATGATATTTTAATTTTTGTCAATGTTGTTCAGCTCCTTGATTGGGGTTTAAGAACTTGTCACTTTAAACCGAGCCCTCAATGTGTCAAAAATCATATGGTCTTTTGACAAGTATCATTTGTTTTACAATAATTTGTCATGTTACTCAGCTACATTGAGATTTAGTTAAGTTATTTGCATTAAAAATTTCTACATATCACACTAATGATCCACGGGGTCTCTCTTGTCTACCTGTACTCTCTGCGTACTCTGAAATCAGCTCTGATGTCATTGCTGTGTACAATGATGTATGTCCAGGTTATCACAGATTATCACTCTTCATGCTCTCGTATGGAAGGTGAGGCAGAACTAAGTTTGCCTTGTGAAGTTTTCAAGATACCAAAGACCTAGTATTTTCTCCTGAAGTGCAGTGGCTTTGGATGTTTTCCTTCTTGGCTCAAAGAAAACATAATCCCTGACCTTGAGTGAATGATGGAACGTAAATTTTCAGATTGGCTGTTCTTGATTTATAGTCAGGCTTCTTCTGGACTGTGAGGAAAAATGATCCTTGCGATTTTTGATTATTTCTTCATCATTCATATTTTATATTTTGCATTTACCCTGAGGCTATTTTTAGGGATACATTTCTATAAACTGGAAAAAAAAATAAATGAGAATATATGGAAAATAATTTGATTTCTTGCTGTGATAGCCCGACCCTTTTGGCCAAAATAACAATAATTACCACAACAATCACGAAGGATGTAAAGCACATCTACTGTAGTTAACATTTTACAAAAACTTTTGAAACACACTAGAAATTCTTTTTATTCAATACCTTTTTTTTCCTTCTGTGGAAATTTCTTTCACAGGACTGGAGAAAGGAAGTCAGTATAGTTTTCAAGTGTCGGCCATGACAGTCAATGGCACTGGACCACCTTCCAACTGGTACACAGCAGAGACTCCAGAGAATGATCTAGATGGTAAGCCTTTTTTGCAATCATTGTCACTCTGATTTCTGTCTTCTTTGTTCCTTCAGCTTCAAAGGGTCCCTTAGGAAAAAATAATGATGCATTTCAACATTGGGGGTATTTATTCTTCTGTATCTTTAGATACAAAACAAAAACAAAAAAAACCCTGAATGAATATAGAGTCTTCAATGATGCCACGTAAATATGCATTAATTATGGTCTTCATAACAAATTACTTTTTTTTTCAAAATAATTTGAAATGGTATTTTTTTCTTTTTCTTTTATTTTGAGTAATTGACCTTAACCATTTTCCTCACAGGAATTGCTGCAATTTCTGATCATAATTATAAAATATAATTACTTTTCATAGCTTCTTTAGCTCTTTTATGATGCCTCTGCAAAATAGCAGTGTGTGTTTTTGACTTGCTGATGATGTGGTCATTAATATTTGGCATGTTACAACTTTTTTGTATAAAGGACAGTCTGCCTTATTTGCTTAATTGATAGTTGTCTGAAACTCTTGTGGATGAGATACTGAGCTTTGTAGAAAGTCACATATCAATACATTAAATATAAGCAAAATCTTCAAAATTATCAGATGAGAAATATTTCTTGAATGAAAAAGTATCATGATGAAATAAGAAAAGAAAATTCAAGAGAAAGGGGTAATGGACAGAAAAAAAGTCTAAATAATAGAAATTTACCCTAGGGGATTAGAGTTAGAATTGAAGGAAGTAGAAATTCATAAAAATGAGAGATGCTTGAAAAAAGAAGTAAGTTACGATCAGGAATCTTAAAGCTACGTCATCAAAACTGGGACCAAGAAAATGTGGCTTAAAGAATAAACACTTACGTACTGAACGTGTGACGACTCAGGATGGCTAGATAAATAACTGACAATAGAACCTCCCTATTCCTTCTCTTATAGACCTGAAAACAGTCAAGTCACCAGAAGGTGGAAATTCTATATCCCTTTCTTACCCTCTCCTTTTTCTCTCTCCCTCCCTTCTCCCCATCACCATTTCTCAATCTGTCTTCCCTCCCTCTTCCTTGAACTCCTCCTTTTCATCTTCTTCCTCCCTGATCTTTCCCTTCTTCTCTTTCTAAATAATTCACTGTCATTCATGATTTTCATATTGTCACAGATTTGGTTTTATAACATGATTACAGTGGCAGTAAAACAATCAACAAATGCTATTTCCACCATCATGATAATCACAGCCACGTGACAGCACGTTCATTCTCAAAGGATATTTATAGAAAATTTGCTAAACACCAGGCATTGTGCTTAGCTCTGAGGATATAATAATAAATGAGAAAGACATGATTGTTTTTTTCTTTGTGGGGCTTCGAAAGACAGGCATTCTAGGTGAACTCATAGGAAATTGCCTTTTTTACAGCACAAACCTGGTTGAATATTGGCAGTGTCTCATGGTTCAGCATATACGGATTGGATGGATATATGGATTGAAAAACAAAAAAAATAGGAAGAGAGATAGATGGGCAAACAGACAGACGTATAGAAGACTTGAATTTAAAACGAGATGTGAAGGATGAACAGGAATGAACTATGCAAAAGATGACACAAGAAATTGAGGCGACGTAGAGGGCAAGGCAAGTGCAGGTTTGAAGTCAAGACAGATCAAGGTGCTGTGAGAGGCCTGGAATAAAGACCGTCAAGGCTGAAACACAGAGGTGGCATGTAATTAGTTTTGCAAGGCAGACAGGGTCTAAATCTGGCAAGACTAAATTAAGAATTTTGAACTTTGTCCTGAGAGTGTCATTAAAGCAATAACCTGCTTTATCCTAAGCAAGTCATGAAAAGGTTTTCTTATGTAAAATACTGACAATGTAGGTTTGCATTTTGAAGAGACTACTCTGGCTAAAGCACAAAAAATGTGTTAGAAGTCGGCGGACACAGGCCAACTCAGGACAGTCATCGAGGTAATATTAGATTTTATGATAAAATAAGTTGTGACTTATAAAATGTTGTTAAATTTGCCTTAGATAAGCTCAATCGAGAAGTTGTGGAGCTACACAAAGTCACATTTTGCCAAGCTTGTACCCTTCATTAATAGGTTAGGAAACCTTAATTCATGTATTCGTGTAATCAACATGTATTTCTTCTTGAAAGTCTTTTTACACCAGGCACTATTTTAGGTACTATGGGCAAAGCCATAAATAAAGTCCCTACTCTCAAAGAGTAAGATTGTTACTGAGATAGAGACAGATACTGATAAATGATGTGAAGAAAGTGAAGCGTGGTGGAAGGGATAGCAGGTGATCAGGAAGGATGACTTCATATGGGGGGGTTGAGCAGATCTCTCTGATTAGGCAAAATGTGAGCACAGACCTTGAGAAAGAGGGAGGCAGGCATGCAAACAGGCCAGACAAGAGCCATCAGTGCAGGAGGAATAGTAAGAACAGGCCTCCAGAGCCGGGAGCCCAGTAGGTGGCCAAGGGAGCCCAGGAGAGCTGGGCTGAAGGGATGAGGATGTGATCTGTCTTACCTAAAGTATGAAAGGATGCTTAGGACATGCCATATGAATACTTTGTGCTTTATTTTACTTGGGAAATAACGTTTAAAGTTTATTCATTTGTGTTTTACACCCTCTTCCATGCATATGAGGTATATATTATTCTCCTTCCTTTAAAGAAGAGCGACTTAAGCTAAGAACATTAAACTAACTTGATCGAGTCAGTCTGCGGGTAACTGTGGAGCTAAAACCCAAGACCAGGTTTGGTGAGTCAGGGTCCAGTTCTGGTTATCGAAGCAAAGCCTCCATGACCCTTGTGAACTGATCCAGTGATGATAAAAGACAGTGATTCAAGGCAAAAGATTCTAAGAAATGAGGTCATATCATTTACCCAAACTTAAGAGACTGTATCTCTTACTGGAAGGAGTGAAAATAAATGGAGTGGAGGTGCCGAAGTTCCCATAAAATACCCAGGATGAATGAGGCTCTCCACTTGACTTATGAGCCCCTCTTGTTAAGTGACTCACATTGTAAGTGGAACCAAAATGTAAAAAGCACAGCTCTTGGGATAGCACAAAACTTCATTTAAGTGCATTCTCTTCATATCCATGTGATCTGAATATAATCCAATGCACACATCGATTTTAATCAAGAACCTCTATGCTGAGCTCATGAACGGAGTCTTAATAAATGATATTTAGTTGGATGTTTGAACTTTCCATGTTTTTAGCTTAATACCATCCCTCTTCTGCATGCAGCCTTTTTCCGTACTTTTTTCCTTATTTAAGTATTGATTAAGAACCCACAGTGTGCCGAGTAACAGGGAGTATAAACGTGAGAGAAATAGGAAGAACTCTCTTCAGGCAGTAACAGATAATGGCTGCACTATTGGAAAGACTTCATGAAAACGAAGAGCACTTACACTAGAAACTCCAGGGAAAGGGGACTGACAGCTAAGATTACAGGGAAGGTGGACGTTCTTCAAAACAAACACCTTGAGAAAAACTATTTTTGCCACTATTAGTTCAGAATGTACCCTCACTCATCCAAATGTGACTCCTTAACCAGCCAATTATTTTAACACATTTCAACACATTTCAAATATTGTCTCTGGTCTCATTCTTCCAATTCTTTAAAAAACAACAACAAAAAAAAATTGAATGGAGGCACTGGGGATTGAACCCAGGACCACATGCATGCTAAGCACACACTCTACCACTGAGCTCTACCCTCCCCCTCTAGCATTTCTTCATTTGGATTATAATTGCTTAGACAGTTCTTGTCCTTGACCGTAATACACACATTAGCAGTCTGATAAAAGGTAAATAAAAAATGAATAGAAGAAAGCTGGTGCAGTTCATATTCCTTGCACATAGTGCTGTTATAGTATATGATTTGAGATTGTTCGTTCACCTGCACAACATAATGGAAACTGATAGTCATTTCAGGGCATTTGACTACATAAACGTGGAACAAGACGTGCTTCACTTGCTTTGTAGGCATTGTTTTTACTTGCGGTAAGAAATTAATAGGACCGAACATATTCAGTCCCAAGGGTTTCTCAATTTCTTAAGCTGTGCTTTCACCCAGCTACATCCTGAATCTGATTTGGATTCCTCTTCCTTCCTCCTGTTTTTCTTCTTTTGACTGCATCATTCAGATATGAAAAAGTGTAACCCTTGATGGGAATGAATAGTTGGAGAAACGGACGAGCTCAGGAGTGGTCACTAGGAGCATCAAAACAACATTCAGCCCGATGGCTTGCTCTTTTTCTATATATAAACACAGAAATAATATAGAACCTAGTCTGTATAGAACAGAATACATATATACATAGATTGAAGCTAAAGATGTTTTAAGTATTCATCCCATTTTGACTTACTCATGTAAATCTTTAAAGTATAAGATTTAAATGACTTCCACCAAAGCTTTCGTGGGTAACATTGGAGAACCTTGAGTCCTAAGCATTCCAAAGTCAGATTTCAAAAGTCAGATTTCCATTAGAATTGCTTTCATTTCCCTTAAGCTTATGAATAAGGAGGAAGCAGTCCTTTTGGAGCACCACGTGGAAAGACATGTTCTTTGCTGTAGCCGAAGAAATCTGCATTGGAAGGAAGCACAGTGTTAGCCCTCTTAAGTGAGTACTGTGTCTCTTTCCCCCTTTCTTTAGACTCTCCTTATGAACTCCAAAGGGTCATTAGGGTGGTAATTCTGAACCTTGCAGGTCAACTAAACAGAAGCAGTGGTATGTGCAGGGAACTGAAAACAAAGAAATTCCCTTTCCTTCTGTGACTTCTGTCGTCTCTCTTGCCTTCTCTGTTTGACTTAAGCCCTGTGAAGGTCAGCAGTAACTTGGAGAAACACTCCAGTTCCCTATGGATCCCCCTTTTCATTAGGATGTTTTGTTAAAGTAATTATAGAGCCAAACCTCACTGTTTGTTTATGGTTCCCTGAAAGCATGTTTGCTATTACTAACAGCTGGGAAGTTTTAAAATATTTATATTGTGCCTCAAAATTTCAGCTTAAGAAGAAAAC